ATTTACGATTTATACTTTTATAGTTATTTATTTATATATATACTATATATTTTGGGGTTAGGTTGTCCAAATTGCACTGTATAATATGTTCTGAATTAATATATTCTTGGGTTTTTTTTGAAATATATATATATATATATATATATATACACATGTAAGCAGTTGAAATTTCATTCTAAAACCCATCTTTTTTAGTCTTTTCATGGCTTATGATATGTCAAATTTGTAGTTTCTTCATTGGTTTTGAGTGTTTATCTTAAAACTCAAGTTTCTTGGTTCTTTGCTTTTGGTGTAAATCGAACACATTTGTGGACTCGTTTAAATATGTTGGATTTTAAATATATTGGATTTTAAACTGTCATACAATTTTTTTCATCGATAATCTGTAATTGGAACTATAACTCTTATTTATTCAAATTGTATTAATATGTAAAGACCAAGTGTAACTTATATCATCGTTAAATCTTATCTTATAAAACCAGTGGAACTTCAACATCGTTAAAATTCATAGCTCCCGCCGCATTGCGCGGGTACACAACTAGTAAATAAATAAATTGTTTAGGTCCTAACCTGTTTTAATTCAATTACCCTACTTTGATTAAGTCAAATCGTCTATGATGTCGGTTTTAAGCGGAGTAACTGCTTATCGAATCATTTTATCTTATCAGATAAACATGATGATAAATGAAAAAAATGGTTTTTAAGAATTTTTGTCAAATGCTTTATAATATAGTATAGATTTATTGATGCATATTACTTACAATTCAAGATTACAAATAAACTGTGTGTAAGTACAACTTATTAAAGCTTCATGTTTGAATTCGTGTAACTAACTGCATATAAACATAATCAAATACAAGATAAACATTTTATTTTAACTATAAAAATCTAAAATATAATTAGAATAATCATTAGTTTTAATGGAATACTTAATTATTATCCTTGATTAAAAAATATTATATAATTAAATCAAAATAATTACTTCGTTATTAAATCTAAATTAAATTAAAATAAAAAAACTACATTAAAAAAATTACACAAAACAAGAATTTTCAAATAGTTAATTTGATACTAATATTGATATATTTATTTTTGAAATTTTATGATATCTTCAAATTTATATTTTATTCAAAAATAAATACATTATCCCTCCTCAAAAACCACATAAAAATCATACTAGAACATCTACAGAGACGGAGTAAAACGAAACATTAAAATCGAGATATATCTCGCTGCATTGCGCGAGTACTCTTGCCAAATGTCTTTGAGAGTTGCCGAAATACAGTTAAAATACGAAACATTAAAATCGAGATATAATAACCGCTTGCCAAATGTCTTTGAGAGGTGCCGAAATACGGTTACCACCGTCAAACAAGAGTACTTCCAAAATAGAGGATGGGAGAACTCTGGATGAAACACGTTAACTTTTCTTGGCACAAGGTTATTCCAAGGAGTTGAGGAATTTTCAGCAACCATCGATAAAGTGTTGTTATCGATCAGATTGCTGAGAAATCTAACTCTGAAAATTCCATCTTATTGAAGGAACCATCAAACCGAGTCCCTGTCGAAAGTGTTAATAGGAACATTTAACAACAAAAGAAAACAACTTCCACGAGGTCATCAGAGACCCTTCCTCTAGGATTACGACTCCAATTCCAAACCCAACCCTTATTACTTGAAACTCCATGTTCACTAACGTTTGCATCTGAATTTGAACACAGTCAACAATCCCGAGAATCTATCAGTTAACCTAAAGTTACTCAATACCCACCCTTTTGTCTTCCAAAAGAGGGTATCAATCTCATTTATTTTACAGAGTAATATTCTCGACCATCATAATAAATAAATAGTAAATATTTATAACTCAATAAACACTTACAAAATTACTACAATAAAAATCATTATCTATACTATCTTATAAAGCATTTGGCTAAAACTC